CACCGATCATCTGATCACTCGCCGTAGTTCAATACGTGGCGAGTGATTAGATAGCTGAGAGAGCGTAGTGTTGAAGAGGGCACAGCGATGAGAGTCGCATCAATGCTCAAATCAACGGGCAAGGAAGGGGTACCATTTCTCGGGTTCTGGGCCGTTTCTCATGGTTCTTCCTTTCTTTCGTGTACCACTCACCATCCCTAGGTTAATTTGAAATGGGTTGCTTTTTCATCGTGAATTCGTCCTTTAAGGTGCGATTCCCCGTGGCACTAAATTTTGCATTTGGGTTGGTGCCAAATCGCGCTAAATATCAAATCAGATGTCAAATTCATCGTCAGGACCCATTTTGAAGCCAACAAGTGGCCGCCAACCTTGATTGCAAAATTTAGTCGCCGCGGGGATTGAACCATCAAGAGTATTATTCACCACTTTTTTGGTACTACTAAAACCGTTCAGCGAAAACGAAACATGGTTTTGTGGTCCATACATGCGTCCCTACAACATGTACTAAACCGTTTCCAAAAAGCGCACCTTGCCCTGAAAGAAAAAAGAAAGAAGCCCTTGTCAGACAAGTTGTGGGGTCAATGAATTCCTCCTTTAATCTTTCATGACATAGCGAAAAAGACTTCACATCATCGTCTCATCAACAGTTGCTGACAGTTTCGGGATCACCCTAAGCACTCAAGGATCCGCCCAAAACAGACTTCACAAACCAGACTCGCTCTCTCTCCTATTCATGCTCTCTCGTCACTGTTTCTTTTTCCTCTCTGCTGCGCCCACTATCTTTGTTCGTCTGTGTTATGAATAATACCTTCTGCATCCTAGAGAGAGGGCTTCTATTTTTAAGGTTTTCTCGGCTTCGTTTTCTTCACGGTCGATCCATTTCGCAGATCTACTTTCATATTCGAGCGGCATAACCAAAATAACCATACCAGCCTGTACCTTTGTGAATAAACCTCTCATGGTTCAGCAACAAAAAGCCGGGAAAGTTAATCTTGTTATGGATCAAATTTTCATCTGAATTTTGTACTTGGCAGGTTACCCTACTTGTTGCGTTCAGTACGGATTCTTCTACTTGACTGTTCATCATGATTCATAATACCCATGAATTACGTGTTTGCATTCTCACCACTTGTGAGTGTGTATGGAAATTTCTCCTAAATTTACCATGATTCCGAGGTTTGGCTGGAAACTTGCCAATACAAGTAGTAAAACCTTGAGCACGAAAATCGCATTGGCTTCCGCAAAAATAGACAATTTCTTATCTGAGAACTTAACCTCTATTTGTTATTGTTGAGCTACAGTGGGATGGTTGGAGAATTTCGGTAAGAAGTGTTGAATCCAATGAAGGATGAGGATGATTCTCCTCGCTTTTTCTTCATTTCGAGGAAACTTACGGGAGGCTTTTCTTGCGCTCGTCCTCTCCTCGACGTCCATCAACCGAAGCTTTCATCAGCATTTTTTCCTCGGCACTGTCCTATCAGTTGGAGGGGTAGAAGTAGGCATGTTCATTCATGCGAAAGTCTTTTCCTTAGAGAGTAATCTTCCGCCTCGGCAACGAAGATCTAGGTAAATCGTACAGCATTCCTTCATTGGTCGATGCCTTCCAGTAGTTTTTATTCGAAAATTGTCGTCAAAGTTGTTTGGACCTACGAGGGGATCGGTCTCAAGTGTTTCTCGATTTTTCAGGCTCTAACGAAGGCGAAGAGGCCGAAACGTAAGCCTAATGAGCGACCCTGAGAAGGCTTCAACAAACAATTCACTTCAATTTTTTACTTCATTAGTGACTGCTCGCGTTCTTCGTCCGATGGAATGTACACCTTCATTTTCATCATTTTCCATCGAATTCCATTCAGAAGCATACCTCAGGATCAAATGAATATGGCCATTGCACACGAGTATGAAAGTATAGGCAACGCTGCGAAAAGGAAGAATCTGTCAGAATCGCTGAAGCTAAGAGCTGCCGCCGTGACGTCGTCGCTTGCTCCCTTTAATGCCCACTAAAAACTGTAAATAAGAGTGAAATGCGTAGCGCATCAGAAAAGGGACCACTTCAGCAAGTGATTTCGGTTATTTTTTATGCGCTCAACATGTGCTGAGATACTCTTAACGGAGTGGAATGGTGCCGCAAAATCTGCTGTTAGAGGATCAAACCGTATTCAAGTCAACTAAACCCTCCATTTGTCCGAAATTGGTCAAAAGCTGCGACAACTATTCTGGAGAATAGGAACTCGGTAGAAGTTAGGCGGTAGCCGATCAACGAGTCGGCTGATGGTGCTGCGAGCAGCTAAGGTCTTTACGTCCAGCATGGTGTTCATTGACTGAGGCACACATTGGCCGCCCGCTCCAGCGCACGCTTGTCATTATCTGCCTTTAAATCTATCATCCGACTGTTGCTCAGCGTCGTTAGCAGTATGACTGGCACCCCAGATACCCGACTGATTATTGGCTAATGTTTTGAGTTTTCTCTGTAATCCCTCAAGGCGCATTGAAGGCCATGTATTCAGTGCTGTTCCGCTTATGACTAGCTTTTATGTGCCATCAAGAAATAATACGTAGGAAGCATCTCCAACGAATACCTGCAATTAGTCGTTGTCATGGCCAGCGAGACGGCCTTCAGCGAATGTCAAGGCTCTTCTCATCATCGCTGCGACATTTGTGATTCTTCTGCTGCACAGTTTTTTCAAAATTTTCAATTCAACTGGGTGTTCGTGCCTGTCGATCACGCTGCGGCCGTTCAGTGTGAGAATTGCATCTTTGATAGTCCAGACTCAGCCGCTCTGCCTGCTGTGTGAAATGATATAAACAGAATGCGTGCAAACGTATTCCATCAGAGAGTATAAAAATATAGAAGAAAAAATGTGACGAATAACGAATAGAAAGTATAGGAAATTCTTGGGTACCAGGAAAAATTCCGGTGATTATTTGACCCATAATGGGGTGCGAATGAGTTGCCGCGCTGCTCCAGAGAGAGTTGCTCATCGCTTGTTGGTTTCAAACGCATGCTCCCATGCGCTAAATATTCTTCAACTCCTCCGTTAGCTCTATTCATTATACGAAGTTATACGATATATGAGTCAAAGACTCGTCGATTCCACTTTTATGATTCAATTTTTTTGATTCACTTTTTTATTTTTTTTATTTTTTTCTATTTTGAAGTAGGCGTGGACTGTCAAAGGGCGCGAAGCCTGCTCGCAACATCCACCGTATAGTCTTTTTGCCTACATATGGAAGCGAAATCTACCAGTACTGAAAATTTATCAAAATATTCTCCATTGTAAATGGATTCGCTTTGGTGCAGTATCTTTCGGCCACTTAGCTATTGATACGTCGTTCGCATTCGCCTTCATATCGTTCACTTGACAGCAAAGCCTTAACAGTGATAATATTCGCGTTCATCAGGGACGATTTCTAAGTTCTACTATCTGAAATAAGCACTGAACCAGGAGCACAGTCTTTGTGAACAGAATCATCTGGAGGCGCAAATCCTCGGCACGCATCTCTTCGGTACACCCACGCTATTATCCTCCTAATGTATTTCTTGTCCTCCCTCTCCTCTACTACCTGCTCTTCTCGCATTTTTCTACACCTCTGAGTCCACATAGAAAAAGCAAATGTAATGATTAGTTTTATGATCCCGCCATTGAGCATCACATATGCTTTTGCTGCTTACTCATTTTCCAATGTCTCATGGCTCGCTTCTTCCTTCCAACGATTATCGCATTGGGAGCCTACGATTACACACTATCAAGGTAACCGTATGATTTGGCAATGAATACCCTGAGACAAGGGTCAAATAACGTGTAAATAAAGCACTTACGAAGACATGGGCCGCTCAAAATACCGGCACAATTTACCCTTCTCCTACCTCCTCCTCGGAAAACTGAGGCCGGATTTTGATCAAAATTTTCCTATAAGTGTGGATTTGGCAAGAAAGTTGCCGTCAAAGGTAACTACACCCGTGGAAGACGCTACTCCGATTTAGCTTCGTGGTTGAGAGCCTTGTTGAACTGCACACGAGGTTGATATTGACAGTTTATTGGCTTACGTTTCGGCGAGTTCGCCTTCTTCGGAGCCTAAAAGGATGGAAGTCGAGTTCATGAGTATCGACCAAAAATCTCCACACACCTACTAGATCTTCGACACCACCTAATCATCACGTAATCACAAGCTAAGGGAAAAGAAACACCGTACCTTTACCAGATCCACTGGATCATCCAACGACAAGCACAGTACAGTACGACTTCGGCTGGACCGAATTCAGGGTATCAGTTGGAAAGGCAGCTTCATATGGGGGCTATCTCCCGCGTGAGTATAAGGCACTCCTCCCCCAGTTCATTTTTGGATTCCCGATATGGATCAAGAATGCCTCGAGGGCTTGCGCGCAGAAAGATGAGTCTGCATAAAGTCATTTGAGAGTCGAATATGGCATTTGCGGTTAGCGCTCCAATACTTTCGTATGTAGTCTCACACCGAAAACGGTGGCGAATCGTTTGATAGCGTCCGGCGCCTTGCGCTGGCCAGGCGTTTCCAGTCTGCTGATCTAGGGTTTATTTTCGTTGTTCCATGCGTTCAAATACCTCACGCCGCCAACTTTCTGGCGCCAATCCTTAGCCATGGATAAATCTATTGATTCAAACTCGGCCCAGTCTTCCTTGGACGATGCGGCGCAAAAAATCCTGTTAAGATTTGACAGCTACACAGCCACAGAAAAAGGCATGCGTTTTCGAAAGAGAACGTTCTTCTCTTTCTTCTCATCCATTTGTCAGAGTGCAATGGCGGCAATGTTGCAGGGCCGCAAAACTGGGGTTTACTGTTCAAACCGTGGATGATGTGTCATAACGGGAAAATGCAGTCACCAATCGACATCCCCCCTGGTCGTTTGCTCTTTGATCCGAACATGAAGCCGATTCACATCGATAGAATCAGTGTAGTATCGTCGAGGGAGATCAAGCTTCCTCTAGCGACTTGCGCTGTACTTTTGGTCAGAACGCTTGCAGGTGATGTCTGAGATGTTGAACACTGGCCAAATGCCACGCATTCGAATTGGCAACTCAGCTCGACGACCCAGTGCCAATCTGACTGGTGGACCGCTACATCGGCTAACACAGGTACATGGGTCCTGTTAGTCGTCTTATTCAAGAGGGCTGACGTACTTTGTGTGCCCACTGCCTCGTTATTAGACGAAAACTAATAAAAGACCTCATAGTGGGGTCTCTAAGACGTAATTAGACCACGCATTAGTAATAACATAACTCTCAAAGTGCAGTTTTTCTTGCAGAATCCAACGGATAGATATCCATATTGGAATAGGCAGTCTAACGAGTCGAGCAGCACCTCGATGGAGGAAAATTCGCCGATGGAGGTGATCATTATGATTATTATAGTAGATATTGTGAAATAATCATATCGAGGCTTTGGCCAGAATTGCTCCCTGATGGAATCTGTCACGTATTTCGGCTCACTACTGAAAGCCTTTAACTTCCAATAGATCTTCGAATTTGATACACAAGTAAATCGGTAAAACTTAGAAGGTTGATAGCAACTGGATCACCGAAACTGCTACATGAACATGTCGAGGAGATTACGGTTGGTCAAAGTTGGTTGTGATGCTACGTTGGTAAAATGGCATTTGTTAAAAGCCTCCTTTCAAACGATAACGACTTTCCAGATAACAAATACGGCATTTCTCTCTTGGCCCGGTTCGAAACGTCGCACTTGACAAGTCCAACAGGGCGTGGGGGGGGTCGTATTTCCACGACCGCAAGCGAGGCAGCGTCAATGTTACAGTAAGGATGTCGTTGGGATGCTTTTTTATGGAACGGAGAGAGGAGCATTGTAGGCTGGGGTTTTCGGCTGAGTGCGAAAATTTGCCGTCCGTTTGATATAATGTCACCCCCCCCCTTCCCCCCGCTCGACGGCATTTTTGGAGGGAAAAGTGGGCGGAGTTGGGCTGTGTCGACTGATCTCAGAATCAAATACTATAGAATCGCCCCTGGCAGGCGAGGGTGGTGGAGGATGGTCGTGAAGGGTTAACCCTGAGGGGGGGTCGTATCGAGGCCCTCTAGAGGGGGAGGGGGTCGTAAAATTTTCGAAATTGGTCAACGTGACGGTTGACCTTGCTCTTGGCAATTGCGCCATCTGACTCCATTTTGGTCCAGGCACCTTTTTGAAATACAAAGATTTTGTCAATTTTGCTTGTCGGGCGACATAAATTTAAAAGTTTTTACTAACTTCTCAGACAAGCTAAGGTGACTGTTGACTGTCTCACGGAGGCATAGAAGGCTCTATGCTCCTATCCAGGATCCGATCGTCTGGCTGTAATCAGCGCCACCTGCTACTAAACCGCTTTTTCCTTAAAGCAAAAATAGAGATAATAAACTGAAAATGTCAAATGAGAGGTGTTTATTGCTTGCCAAGTTGCATGCAAAACTGGCGGATAAACTTTTGTGGGCACTATTGACTGCTATTGAAGAACCTTGCGGTTTTTTTTCTGGCGATTATTTTACCTAAGTACTATTTCAGCTGCAAATGCTGGCTTACAACACCGATCTCTACAGAAATTTCTCATCAGCTTCTCGATCTCCTCATGGGATTGCCGGTATTTCGGTTCTCGTCGATGTAAGTGTCTCTCCACTCCCTCTCTTGCTACTTCTTAGAAAGACTGTTTTTAGTATGGAAAAGAACAACGAAGAGTCTGGAAGTTGACAATAGCGACGGCAAGCATCATTTTTAAAGATAAGTATTTTTAGCACTCATTGCGCCTACTTGAAGATACTCTCATTCTTATACTTTATGCTTGGTAACCAGACCAGTTACTGCCTAAATGAGCGCTGAAGTTTCCGGAATGACGACTATAAAAGTGTCCTTGATTGTGGGGTTTAGGGCCCAACTTGAACTACAACTTCACGTGGAAATGGGATTTTTTCCAATCAAACTGCCTAGCCGTCTGTTTTCCAGGCCAGGTAATGGCTATACCGGGAACCACCAGGGAACTAATGTTAAACTCTATCGCCCTTGTATCCTTCTTCATGAGTGTTCCAAGACACTTTTACGAGATGTTTCTTTGCTGATCTCTACATGATGGGTTTCATGTAAACAAACAGGGTTGTTTCCAAAATATCACGCAGAAACCTGGACAATGCGTTTTTGAGGGGCATATAAAGGATGCCTACCATGAGCAGCTCAGGCGTGTGACAAGCGTAAGAGTTACTTCATCGCGAGTGCATCGAAGTCCTGCACTAGTTCCTACAAATTCGAAAGCAGTAAAACGTTAAACGGTGGATAATGAACTGCCGTCCATTACTGCCAGCGTTAACATAAGAGACAAAAAGATTAAACGATATTAGATCACGAGATTAGGAATTTTAGCTGAAAGGTCAAAAAGGTTGATTAGAAGTAGACGGGGCGGGAGGCGTTCCAATCAAACCAGTCACTGTAGAATATAATATACAGGGGGAGGGGGCGAAAAACGAAAGGCATTCTGCCAGGTCGCCCTTTCGCGCCTTTTTTTCTTCGCAAGATTTGAGAGATTGCTGTAGTTGACGTAACCTTCTCCGCAAAATATTCCCTGAAATGTCCCTCTATAAGTGCACGCAAGCCCTCCTTCACTACCCTCACCGTCTTCAGAATATGACGTCATCTGTCCACCGTCGTCGAGCTCAGGGAGGCCTACAGTAACTGCTTCAGCCTGAAGCTCTTACACAATTTCTTGGATCGATTCAAACGTGAGATAAGTTTCCTAGGGACATTAGCTCTAACTATGCAAACATCCTCGAACGTCCCTTCGGACTTCCGTCGTAACGTAATGATTGTCGAGATTCCCTGGGAGCTCGACTAGAGCAACCATGTTCCGGTGCTGATGCCGTCCACGTAGATGGCCACTATGAAGATTTTCTTATGAAATGAAATGCGCTCTTCAATTCTAAGTTGGGAGCACACGCTTTGAGCTGAGCAAAGTGTGATTAAATCCATTTGAGTCTGGAGACAAAATGTCTTTTTTTATTGCCCCCCTGTATATCTAATCCTTCCTGCCAATTCCAACCGCTAAGAACTCATTCTTCCACCACTAGCGGGCCTGATCTATAACCTCTCTGAGTCGCGGACTATGGAAGTGGCGACCTCATAAAATTTCGCAATTCCGACCATCACCCATCATCACAGACTCTCGATAAACTATCCAACGCAAATGTGTTTTCGCCTCCCACCGGCCGTTTTACCCACGATGAGTTGACCGCCTTTTCGCCAGAATTCGAAAATGATTGAAATGTCCAGAGTGTTCTTGAGGCGTTGGCAGAAAAGTTGCATCGCCAGTTTAAATCAGAAGGTGATTAAAGAAAGTAATCAAGTAATTCCCAATGCGTGCAGTGAGGAAGAAAAAAATATCCTAAGAAAATAGCCTGAATCGTGCGCATCGTGCCCTAGCTCCCCCGTAATTTTGCGTTGACCGCCGTCCACAATTGTGCTGACATAATCATCTTGAATGCTCTGCTCTACATTCCCGCTTGAACGGCTAGAGTTCGACGGCAAGAGAGCAGCAGCCGCGGTAGCTAATAGGTGGGCGAGTGGGCAGAAGAACGAGACATCGAAAAGAACGGGGAAGGCCTCGCCATATACCCTCAATTAGCTGCCCAACGTCCCTGCTGAGCAGATTTTTGTAAGAAAAATGTTTTGCCTTCTCCGCCGACGTATCCTATCTCCATGCTTTGCGATAATCCAACGCCTTCCCCACGCTAGAGAGTACCGTAACCGCCTACATTTTTATTTTTGAATTATTTGTTATGCCGATCAGGCTGGTTTCGCCGAGGAAGCTGAGTCCCCCTAGAATAGCTGGGCTAATAGCCAGTCTTTCCACATGTGCATATGCACTAGAACGCTCTCCCTCACATTTATAGGTTCGAAATGGTCCAGCATCTCGGTTCATCATTCATATGGGACGCCCGAGTTCCAGGATTACTATCTGCTAGCGTGAAGGTAAGAAAATGATAGAATCCTCAGCATGGCCCAGACAGTATGGTTTATACCCCAACGGCCTAGCAGAGCTGTACCGGCAGTGTCCACGCCTTGTCCCCCCCCCCCCCGACTGGCTATCCCCTCGTCGTCGGGCTCTAGCCGTGGGCTATAGCTGTGTTAGCAGAAAGGCTAAGCAAAGCGTTCATGATGACGACGCCAACACTGACAAGGCTCGCCCCAATTCTGAAATCAACGGGGGGGGGGGGGAGAATGGGAGTTCCACTTCACGGGTTACAGGCCATTTTCTTAGCTTTTTTTCTTGATCTCAGCATCATTAACCATCTCTACTTTCTTTTCCAATAGACGATCAATTTATCGCGATCCGGATTTTAGCAAAGCAAGTCAGCATTTTAAAGACGCTGCGATTCTCAAAGAAGATTCGTAGAACGTTCATATTTAGACCAACCCTCTTTCAGGGCAACGAGTGGAATTAGCTGATCTTGAGCCGTGGCAACTACTACCGTACACTCGAGATCTTGTGACGTACGAGGGCTCGATGACGGCTCCAGGATGCCACGAAACGGTGACATGGATCATTCTGAATCAACCGATTCACATCACTAAAGATCACGTGAGTCATTTAGCTCTTCATTCTCTCGGCATTCTTTAGAATTCGTCTTTACAGATGGCCGAATGGGGCAAAATGGTACAGACGACGCAGAAGAGCGAAGAACCGCAATTTCTGGCGCCAAACCGACGAGCTGTACAGGAGTTCAACTCGAGGCTCGTGAGAACCAACATACAGCATTTGATCAAGGTTCGGCACCGTGTCTTCCGCAACCGCTCAAAACATCAGATAAGTACCTTTTCAGGAGAAGAAAGAGTGCAAGATGGCGATCCCGAAGGTGATGTACAAAAGTGTCAACGGGCCACCACCGCCATCAGTTACTACTAACAAGCATCGCTTGAGGCATGCACACTCACAGAAGACGCACGACGAGGACTTCTTGTGAACGGCTCCATGGCCACACGCGTTCGGCGACTTCGCTCGAATTCTCGCTGATCACCATCGACAACTACGGGATCTCCCTCACTCTTACGAGGGACTCGAAACTTTCACTTGACATTTTATGTTCCCGTTGAGCACCATGGGTCCTGATTTGATCTCTTTTATTGTATATGTAGCATAGATGTGTAAACTTAGACGTAGTATTGCAGTACTCTCACGTCCATTGTATAGATATATTTTCAAAAAATATATTTCTCTCTGCGGTAGTCTCCATTTGACGGAAGGACACACTTACTTTAGCGTGCACACTCAACCGTAGTGTCCTGACGGCGGAACGAAAGAACCGAAGCAGAATTCAATTTTTCAGGGATCAGGTTTCATAAGCTTATTGGGGTGTAGGTTCAAAGGCAATTCCCGGATTTCTGGCGATTTCCCCGTGAAATATGGAGCAGTATGCGAGGGCAGACCATGTGCAGAAGTGGCGGGGCGTTTCGATAAGGTTTAGGCGCTAGAGGCCTAGTCGTGGAGCATTGGCGCCGCCCAAAGCCCATTGAGCCCGCCCACCGTCCTACGTGATCTTCCAAACAACCACCTAGGAACGCTAGATGTTAAGCCGTTGTTTGGAAAGTCGTAGGGGAGTATTTAGCGGATTTCAATTGCGAAAATCGACATCAAAGCCTATCTTACGACCATTTTGGAGAACGTTGTCATCATTCTAGTGAGAAGAAAAATTTTAAGATAGGAAGCAAACAAAAAAGCACAGGAAAATAGAAAAATAGGGAAACTAGGAAAAATCAGTTTTCATTGCTGACTTTTTGTGGTCGTGTCGGTTGATGGCACAAAGCCAACAGTTGCTGTAGACATGTTCCCAGCCCTGGTTCGTAAGCGACTAACGAAGAGGAATTTCTAATTTTGTAGTTCTTTGGAGGTATTTCCTGCTTTTTTCATTACCTTCGATCAACTTAGCATCCAGCTCTTCACACTCGAACAGGTGAGTCCCTCGTTTTATCCCGGAGTTGGCCTTTAAGCAGAACCTCAAAGCAATGTTGAACCATCCGCTTGATCGAGTCAGACAAGGGGAGGGGGTCATATAGGGAGGTTTGACAAATCACATTTAGCGGAATGAGGCATCATCTGGGAGGCATGGATAGAGGACTTACTAGGAGATTTCTAGGAGATTACTGCACGGAGTTAAGGAAAATCTTGAGCATTTAGGAATTTTCTGCCGTTCCAGGAGTAACGTCCCAACAATCTCCGCCCTCTCCCGCTCACCCGGACAAGGCATTTCTGGTGTTTCGGAGGTGGACTTGGAAATGTGTCAGCCAGCACCAGATATTTGAGGAGGGAGGAAGAATGTGCATATCTGAAACCGGCCACACACCACCTCGGCTGTCTATACTTCATCCCCCCATTGTGTAAATGTGGAAATGTAAAGCCATCGCCTACTCGTATGGTCTGCGGTGGAAAATGCGCAAGGACGACGTTCAGCATCACAGCAAATACTTTATACTCAGATACAAATAAATTCAGTTGTTTATGCATGGCTAGAACAGTCAAACACTAGCGTATGATCGGTTCTGTCTCCTTTCTACATCGAAACAGTCACCAATAACTTAGGGAACTACATTCTTGTGCTCTTCTGAGCAACTCTAGACATCTGTAACATCTGCATCGCTCTAGTCGTGTTTTCGCTCTTCCTCGAATCCAACGCCAGGCACATACTGCTCTCGAGGATTGTGGAACAACGTGTGGTTGCCATCACCCCATGGGAATGGCTGAAACGGTAGGAAAACTAGGAAACCAAGGAAATGTCGAAATTAGCTGGTGACAAACCTTATTTCTAACGTTCATGAATGGGTATGCGACGTATTCCGGACGCTCGTGTGACATGTGACTTTCGTGGTCCTTATACGCGGCATACATTGTGAGGGCAAGACATGGAATCGCCGCAAACGCGAAGATCTTCTTCCAAGTGCTGCTTGTTTCTGAAAAGGATTGTGTTTTCACTAATCTAACACAGCTGCCTTAATTCAGAGATCTTCCTCTCCTTATTAAGTGCTAGTAAATACCTCATTCATTTACGCGTGGATGAGACCACTAGTGCGAGGTTCTGCGATCAGGGTCAACCGTCGAGTTCGTACATTTTTGAAAATTTTACGACCCATCCCAGTTAGGGCTTCGACTCAGCCCCTCCCCC